GCAGGCACATGCCAGGGTACTGTACATGTCCTCTTTTAAGTAAATCCATAGCTCCGTGCTGGGTACTGAAGCCACAGTATGGATACTTTAGTAGTATGACAAATGGGCAGACAGAGAGAAAGAAAGAGGACAGCTTTGTGTCAGCTGTTTATTACCAGGAAGGTGTAAAGGCAGCACAGAGGCCGTTTCCTCATAAGGCCAACTCCACAGGAAAAGTTTAGTGACATGGTATGCACACTTCTGAATTTTCTTTCTTATGTTCTTGAACCTAGTTCGATAGCAAAGAATATTCTGTGGGATTTAAAGAGGAAAACAGTAGTTATTTGATTGGTGATTAAAATTTAAATTATTCCCCCCCCCAATAGTGCTTTTCTTGCTGTGCTGCACTGGGATTCTAAGTGCAACGCTGGCTCCAGTAGCAATTATTCAATGCATTTTTATGCATTTACTGCCTAGGTGAATACCTTGAAAGTACCCTGAGTTCAGGGCTTTCCAATAGAATTAAGTGATCAAGAGCATGGGCAGCCATGTCCTCATATGTTATACCTTAAGGCAGCCAGGTGGGACACACCAACATTTCTGTCTTGCTAACAGCACTGTGCTGACCTTTTGGGTGTCTTACCAGCCAGGGCAAAAGGCGGAATGGAAAAGAGGGGGGGAAAAGCAAAACCCCAACAAAATAAACAACTTGAAAAGCTTAACTCAGGTGCATCAGACATCCTAGAAGGTGAGATTTGCTTTTAAAGAAGTTAAATAGCATGGAAAGCAACAGCTTCCATAAGTACTTTCTGCTATTAAAGTGTCATTTTCCTTGTTGGCATCTGTAGAAGAAGAGAACTGGCACTGGGAAGGAGGAGCACACAACAGAAGTGTCTGAGCAGGTGGAAAGGAAAGCCACAAGACAAGCTCAAGAGTAAAATTTGTTTTCCTCCATGTTTTAATTTGACAAAAGAGGATCCATCTCAGGTTGGTCATCATGGGATGTAGCAGTGTTACAAAAGCTATATGTAGGTGGCTGTTTTTCTGGGAATGCCATTCACCACTTAGAAGTGTTGCTTCCGCTAAGTTTTAACTTAAGCTTTTGAAGTGCAGCAGGGTAACTGTGCTCCTGTAGCAAACTAGGGAAGTTCAGCATATTAAAAGCAAACGAACGAAACTAATAGTGACTTTTTTTTTTTTTTTTTAACTCGAGTTTGCAAGCTTTATACACCAAACTGCTAATGAGCAGGAGGGACGAATTAGGTAAAAACCACAGTGTTTGATTTTAGGCCTCTAAGTAGAGAAGAATAAAATACTTGTTACAGCCTTTTAAGCTACTCCATCTATAAAAGTGTGGGTCTTCTTGAGTGCTGTTGAGTTTAGGCTATTTCTCCCTTTGAACCTGTTCTCACGGTTTGCAGTGCATGGGCAGGTCTGTATGAAGGAAAAAAACCCTGTGGTTTCCATACTAAAGCTGTAAAAAAAAAAAAAAAAAAACCAACCAACAAACCCAACAACCAAAACCCTGAAAATGCATAACATTTTTATTTTCAGTGTTCTAGGAACAGTTTCAGTTCCTGAGCTCTGCAGGGGTGCAGCAGCATTGTGCCTGCTGGGAGCGCACCGGTAGCAAATTAGAGGAACGGAGGGGTGGCATAGATCTAGCACTTTCCAGTCAGCTTGTCACTGCTAACCCCTGATTGCTCTTGAATAGGCTATAAATGTATCAAAAACCATGTGCTAAAGCCCTGTGAATTCCAGGCAGATTCAGTTGTGGTTGAGTTGAGCGCCCTGAAGATTAAAAAAACAAAGGAAAAAAAAAAAAAAAAAATCCCTTTACAAAATCTCTTTCTAGGTAAGCAAAGCTGGAGAAGATTGATGCAGAGAGCACCACAGGAGCTTGGCTGCCATGGGCTCTCATGGGCTGGCACCAGTGGAGAGCGCAAGGTTTGCTCGGACCAGGTCTGTTAGTCGTATTTTCACAAAGGCACGGACAAACAAGTACGAGAGGGTCAGTTTCTTCATTCTCTGAATGGAAAGTCCGCCAAGCAACCGCTTTGGTCTTTCAGGGTCCAGCTGTTCACGAGGTGTGTCTTGGGTCGCCTAGCTGAGGGTAGCAGAGGTGGAGTGCTACGCTAATGGCAGTTAGAAGTTGGATCAAACTGCGTTTTAGCAATAGTAAAATTCTCTAATTCCCTGTGCAGGAACTTGGCCAGCAGGGAAAGACAACCAATATTTTATTTAATGGGTTTTGGACATTCCCCTTTACTGCTCCCAGAGAGAAATTCCAGAAAGCCTAAGTAAGTAAGTGCATTCAGGCCTTCATAATAAATCTTCAATTTAAAAATACAAGTGGTGTAATTCTAAAGAGGAACAGTACAGAAGAAAATGTACTCAGTCTTAACTACTTAGAAGTAATAAATGGCTATATAAAATGATAGAGAAATCATTATATACATCTTTTTCTAATTCCTTGCATTTTCTAGACAGCTTACTAAAATATAGGAAATGTAGATTCATCTGTACAAAATTTGGAATGTTTTTTCTAAGATGAAGAACTTATAGGATATGCTAAGACTTCTTTTCTAACAACTGGTTTTAATGCTTTGACTTCTAGTGCAAGAGGGATTTAGGGAAATCAGAAGGTGATACCTTTCACAGGATAAAGTCAGGAGCTCTTTTACTCTAGGACAAAAAGAAAAAAAAAAGAAAAAGCTAACTTTCTGTGGTCTCTACCACATGTTAAAAACAATCTGCATGTTAGATTGAACTTGCTCAAACCTCCAGAATAAAAGCATACTATACACTTTCCTCGCTGTTATGCACTGTAATGAAATGTGAAAATAATGCTGTATTTAGCTGTCTGTACGTGACTGAAAATATGCTTGTATTTAGCAAAATGGTTACTATGTGATAATGTGAAATTTAAAACTTGTAAAGAAACTGTGTTTTTTTTTTTTTTTTTCTTTCCCCCTCCCCATTCTTTATCAGTAAGCTGTCCACTACCTGTGCCACTTCTGTATCGCAGCCGAAACTGAAAGCCTAACATGGGCTGGCTCAACCACAAGCAGGCACTCTGCGACAGTACCTGCTATACGTTTTTCTCTGAAGGCCCGCGGCTTAGATCTTCAGAACCAGGCAACTACCTTGCTGAGAAAAAACAGTGCAACTATAGAAACACTGGCCCTTCTAAAGCAAACCAAAAGAACCCAAAACAAACCCGTTGCTCCCTGCGGTAGTAGCCAAAAACGGCCTCAGCCCCTCCAGGAGGCCTTTCTCAGCAGCAGGCAGGATGGGTGTCACAGCAGCTAAACCAGCTTCTGCAAACTGACCTTCTGTTCTTACTCAACATAACAAAGACTTAACAGCAAAGGACAGAGCGATGCTGGGCAAGGATCAGTCTTAGGGAAGCTTGAGTTCTTGTCTGAGAGTGTTGTTTTGGTCTTTATATTTACTTTGTATCAAACAAACAAACAAAAAAACCACCCAAAACGAGTTACAATGGCCACAGCCATCTCCCATCCCCCCCAAGCCAGGTACCTTTTCAACCTACTGAGCAATTCCAGCTCTGATGCTGTCACTCCGCCCCCGATACCCAGCATTAGGTCATCGGCAGTCACACACAGCACTTATTTTGCTCGTGCAGAAATGCTTAACTCGTCATTTCATTGTGTGCAACAAAGGCAGGCAATTGCTGCCTTAGGACCAGCCGGAGGGGGGGGGAGCATGCCTTGGCCTGTTGGGATCTCATTAATCCAAATTGAAGAGAAAATTGCAAATCAGGATGCACTTGCAGGTGTCTTTCCTGACATTGCTGATGCTCTTAAAAAAAAAGGGAGAAGCAGCCTGCAGTCCAAGCAGCCCCCCCGCAGCCAAGGGTAGCAGTGGGCAGATACCTGCTAGTCAAATAATACATTAGATCTAAATGTGTCTCTGCTACAGCCAAAGTACAAACAGTATCGCCCTGCAGGAAAGGCATAGATGGGCCAAGCCCAGGTACTTACTTATGACAGTGATAAGGATTTACCTGTTTTGTGCCCGCCCCTGCAGCTCTTACTCTTTCACAGCCACAGTGCTGTCACATCAGCTGCTCGTATTCACGAATTCAGATGTGCTGACTCACGCTCCCCAGTATTCAGCAGCTACACTTCTCACATCTGCTGCTTCAACTGAATTTTTTCACCCCCCTGCCTTCAGTTAAGGGAGGGAAACATTATAAAAGATCACACGTCAGATTCCTGGCTTTCTCACATGAAGAAAGATGCACAAAAACAGGTGTTTGCCACAACTGTTTAGTTTTACTATTTTAATATCATGAAATAAAAGTACAAAAAATTTACAGGTATATTGTTTCTTACATGAAGATCGAACAGTTAACATTTGCATTTATTTTGCAGCGAAACCTGTATTCTCAGTCACAGAATGTGAATATTAGCCACTGACATCACCACTGAGCATTTCATTTTAGAAAGAAACTGCAGAGGTAAAAGGCAACAATCTTGCAAGGCTTCATAAGAACAAAAAAAAAATATTCCACCTGTTAACACCAGAAGTCATGCTTCAGTAAACCATCCTTATCTAATACAGGTTTCACCACCTGGGAGGCTGAGAGCGTTAAGACATTTGAAGTGGACATCTTGTCTAAGGGATCGTAAATAGGGGGCTTCCTGCTCACAGGCTATCAGCATTTTGGTGTCGTTCAACGCATTTGCAAAAATAAGCAGTGTGTGCACATGTTTGAAGAAGAACGGGGTGAGATCACCTGCAGTCCTGACATAGCTTGTGCTGTTTACTCCGTTTACCACTCTTCTCTGAAGACAAGTCACCAACTGTTGTACGTAAAGTGCTGAGAGTTCAGTAACAGGCAGTTAACTAACCAATAATTATTAAAAACAAGTTTATCCAAAGTGGATATCCAGGAATGCTTGCAGATTGATGTTGCCGATTAACGGACTGAAACAAAATCCAAGACCTCACTGTATTTTTTCTGTTTCCTAGAACATCACAGCTGCATGTCTTCCCAGCCCAAGTTGACTGTAACTTCATCAGCTGTACACAGAGATGAAAAAGTAAACCCCTGCATTACCTTAACCCGCTAAAATGCCAGACTCCATTTCATACGTGCCCCTCCACTTTTCAGACAAGCTTTCAGGTAGAAATTTATTTATGACAGACCGGTCTGATCAAAATACTATGTCCTTTGCTGGACTGTGTGGTGCCTTTTCAAAGAATTCATTTCATGAAGCATGCATGAAACCAAATTTTGAGTTTACAAATAAATAAAATGGTGCTCACCATTAGTTTTTATATATTTTACCATTTACTGAAATGCTTAAAGTAACTCAGTCCCTTAAGAATGAACTTGGGGGTGTTTAAATAAAAAATATTTGGAAATTTAAACCACATTTGAAATTGGCAAAACTATGCTTTGTTTTTGGAAGGGTCTTGCTTGTTTCTTCTCTTTACATCCCAATTATAAACTCTAGCCATATCTGAGGGTGTGGAATTAAGGAAATAGCTCGTGCATTCAGAGAAGAAAAGAAAAAGAAAGAAACAAAGAAACAAAAAAAGGGAAAAGCAGGTTACAGTTGGCCACACTTCACTTACTTGTAACAGTCAATATAGAAACCATGCAATGAAAGAGATGACTTGGTGCAAAGCCTTGGTGCAAAGTTACTAGGAATACTAGTAACTGTTAATAACTGCAGCATTTATATCATTTAGTTAAAAACCTCCAAAAAGATATTACAGAGAAACACACTTTTAGTTTTACTTACAGCTACTCTTTTCTGATTTCAGTCGACCGATCTCAGCTGTATTTGCCCATTTCAGGCATCCATAACTTCCTGCAGCACTAAGATAGCTTAAGCATAAATTTGAAAAAACAAGTAGTTGTGCCTTCGTTTACTAAATCTAATGCCACAGTTGACGGCTATCCTCATCATTAAAATAGTTTTTAAGTATAAAAAAACCCCCCACACCCCTGGAGGTGGTTCATGATAGTATAAAGAAAGAAATAACAGTATAAAGAAAGAAATAAAAAGTTAAGCAATGCCTAAGCTAGCACCAAGCTTGCTGCAGCAGGGCTGGTGGTGCTTGGAGAACGTTGCATTGGCAGCTGATTAGCAATAGCCCAAAGAACAATATTGATACGCTCTAGAGAGAAAGGGAGAGTCGCTTTGCTTTGAAATGGCCTCCTGTCCATCAATCCACAGCACCGATCCACGCTTCCAACTCGCTCCCAGTCTAGGTTTGCAACCACCGGAGTAGGTGGACCCAACCACAAACACCAGCTTCGCTACATCTTACACACCAACCCTCAGCTCAGCGCTGGAAACACAGTATCTCGTTTCACTGCTGGAAAAGGTTAAGTTCCTGGAGCACCACAGAATTTTAAGGGCAGCCAGTCTAAGATAAAAACATGTCAGGAAACTGGTAATTACCTGTATGTTAGCTTTCACATACACCTCTTCCCCCACAAATAAAAAAAAAGGATACTGACTTCTGTAGTGGTGAACTGATCTCTAAGAAAATCCAGGTCTTCCTCTAGAAGATCAAGGTTTCTTGTGGCTGTTGACAAATTCTTCTCTAACAGAGCCTGAGCTTCATCAATATCATATTCAAGCATCACATTGGCCTAAAAAAAAAAAGATTGATAAAAGCTTTTACTCTTGCATTGCAAGGAATAAGCCATAGCAGGCTTATTTCATTATGTGTTTTATAACTTATCACATTAACAAAAGGCTGTCCAGACAGGCCAAGACAACAAGATTCAGGACGAGCAATGCCAGAACCCACTCAAGGCCTCCACCACTTCAGTAACTGAGTAATAAATTCCTCTAGTGACTTAAAAAGTAAGTTATCTTCCTATAGCTAAGCAACAAGGGATTTCTCTCCCTGTGGATTGCATTCAGCCTTTCAGGTATCAGTATCTCATCTTCACCATATCTGAAAAGTGAGAGACTTCACGGTTCTTAGCAGCACCTTCAAGTGTCGCACAACTCTAGAAACAATTCAAGATTAACCTTAGGATCTCTGTGTGGCACACTGACAGCCTAATGGCATTGGGCATTAACAGGAAGTATTACAGGTATTTAAAGATACAACATGTATAGAAGTCCTACCCTATACCGTGGTGGTTTTTAATCTACAAATCTTTATTTCAGTAAGAAGCTACCACAGGAAGAGATAAGAGAGCACTATCAAGTGAAGACGCACCAATGAAGCTTTGTCCCATTCAAGAACTGTGCATTGAGCAGAGCCACATACCACTAACTAGACATGATCCCAGGGAATGCTACAGAGCTGCAAGAGTGAGATAAGCCATTCTTCTTCTAAAATAACTGGAAGACATAGTTTCCCCAGTAACAGTAATACGTATAGCCCAACATGCAGACTGAAAGCAGCAGGGAGGATAAAGGCAGAAGGCCAAGAACACCTAAATATAATAAATCTTTTGTGGCATTTCATTATGGCTTTTCTGTAAGAACCATCAATAGGATAAACTTTCTCTGATGTTCTGTTACAAAATAAACCTGGGATGCTCCATGAAAGTCAATGTTTATGAATTCTGAAGACAGTCTCCTAAAAGCAACAGGTATCAGACAACTTTTCTCTTTTTATGATAGAAAAGAAGTGGGAGAGGTTGGGAGTAACTGCCCAATCAGTCCGGATGCTGCATGTGTCAACAATGTTTCTGTCCTAACCAAGTGGTTTTGTTTGGCAGCCAACACAGGGATTTGGGAACATCCGGGATTTAGAGGTCTCAAAATAAACATTAGCAGGTTATCTCCACACATAAGGAAGCCTCTGAATACACAATATCCCAACCTCATACCGCTTAAGTACTTAGAAATCTGCGTTTTGAGCTCTGATCCCACCAGTCTTTAGCACAAATTCCACTCTACATGCTGGCAGGTACCCGTGAGTAACAGAAATCCCATCTTTACCTAAAAACATGCATGAAAAAGGAAAGCAAGATGCTAAATACAAGTAACGTAGAGAAGATGGGAAGCTACTTGCCAAACAAAGTTATTTTGCTGGGCACATTCCCATCCCAGGCAATGCTGGATGGTAATTTGAACCACAAAGTGATAGAAGTGATAAGGAAAACATTCACAAATATGCTTTTTGGAAAGAACAATCCAGCAAAATTACAATTCTCTGAAGTCTTACTGTTCAGGCACCAAATAAAATCAAACATGAAACCTTCACGTGTTGAAATTGTCTTGTTAGGTTTGCCCTGCTGACAGGACACAGCACTATGCACACATGAACAGAATTATGCCCATAGCCACTAGAAGTACGATGAGACAGTGACGAACACTGTCTTTTATAAGCCTTTTATAAGTTATTTAAACAGTTTCAGAGAAAGTTCCATTTTACTTACCCCCAACCACAAACAAACTTTATCTGTAGGAGGAACTGAAGCTTTGCAGTAGAGATTATCTGCCAATAAAAATCTGGTTTCCATTGGATTTGTGGAATCCTTAAGACAAATGATAAAACTTAAAATTGCTATTTTCACTGGAAACTTATGTCAAAGACATAAAACTTACAGTAAAGAGCACACTTTTCTGCTTTTTTGCCATTGATACAGTATTAACTTTGGTGGAACTCTACATCATTTTATTTCAACATTAAAGTTACAGCTCCAAGAATAAGGCATTTAAAAAAGATATATTTAAAAACAACACAGAAATCTCTATAAAGAATAGAGATTAAGTCAAAGCTTAGCTGCAATCTGTACGCTATTAAAAGTGAAGTTTGCATTACAAACTTTAACTTTTTTTGAACTAGCTTTCAAAAAGTACTACATACCTTTAAAAACAATTCTGTTATTTATAAAGGCATATTAAGTGTGCTCTCCAAAACAATTCTTGCAATGTGTTCTGTTAGGGTGGAAAGGTAGTTAGCTTTTCTCATACTCATTAGATATTCAAAATAGTTTACCTTTTTCTTCTGCATGTGTTTTAAAATTTCTAATGTCTGTTTAATTTCAGGAATCTGACTTTTTAGCCTGTGAATTAACAACAGTCATAATTTATTATTTTACAGAGACACAAAGTTTCCTAAACAAGTGATCAGTTTTATTATACAATCCAACCTCCATTTTAAACCTTGAAACTCTAACAGCTTTCCAGGCTTACAAATGCAGACTTGAAAGGTATGGCATGTAAAGGCATCTCAGCTACAGCTTCACCTGCCTCTTACCATACTGAGGCTCACTGGTTTTCGGAAGCAGAGCAATACGTACAGCTTTCAAACCGGAACAAACATGTATTAACGGTAACAGATACCTGTTTCCTAAATTAGTGTATTTTTGCATATTTCTGATCTCCCCAGAGGAGAGGGAAACCTCAGCAGAAATACAGATAAAAACCACTGTAGGTAAAACAAAACAAGTGTGTTTCTTCCGAGGTCCACAAACTATTCTAACAAACAGTTTAGAGCTACAAGACTTGGCGCTGTTAAAACGAAAGCTCTCTCCAGAGTTCAGGGCATCCCCCCCCCTCGACAGCCCTTGCAGCAGCCTAGCAGAGGCGCTGGGACCCCCACGGCCTTGCAGGCCGCCCTCCTCCGCACCCAGCAGGCTCCGGCAGCAGCGACTGCCAAAGCAGGCCTCCAGGTGGAAATTGTGAGGGATATTTGTCCGTGAAAGAAGTTTAATCTAAATAAAATATTACTTGAAGCTTTGATTTTAGCTTTTAAAAATTTGCTTCTTGCCTAGCTTCAGATCAAGACTAAAGCTACTGAAGAGAGATGAGATTACTAAACCAAAAGTTACAGGCTTGATACAGTAGTCGTTTGACAAAAACATATTCTTATTTACACTAGGCTGACAAAATTTAAGAGACTATAGCAGTACTTTTTGGCCTTAAAGGCTAAGGACCAAATCAGCAATACTGTAAATTCTTTTGCATGTAATTCTCAGGAAGAGGAAAGAAGAAAAGGTGGGCTTTCCTGAAGGTCCTGCAAATATTAGCTCTTCTAACATCAACTTGTTACTTCTTGGGATATTTAAAAAAAACTAGACTTATTTTTAAAAAAGTAGAACTGTGCTAAACATTTCCCAATTCTGCAAAAATTATGACTTACCTCCTTTTCTTTTGAGCAAGATTAAGTTCCAAAAATTTATACTTCTGATACTGCTCATCCAACTTCTTAAGAACTACATCTGCTGTCTCATTTCCAGGCTGTTTCATAAAAGAATCTACATCTTCCTTTAAGGGGAGAAAGAAACCCTCAATGTTAGAAGAGTTTTACAGAAATGCTAGATACAGTCATGCCATCATCCTACTGCAGCTAAGTCTAGAGGAGGTTTTATATGTAAACAAACTTCTTTTTTTCTAGAGTGAAGTACAAAATCATTTTGTTTCCTTTCTTAGTTAGTCACCTTTTCACTTCCCCCTCCCCCCCTTTTTTGGTAGGGAACTACAGAATAGGTGCGAGGATTATTTCATAACCATATTCGCTAGTACCTTGTTAGCGCTGCTTTCAGTCCTGGCCGATGTCAAATGACACCTAACGGGGACGGATATCCTCAGACCACAGCTAAACTTTGGTTTCCTATCTGTAAAGCAGGGATAATGCTTCTCTGTGGCTAATCAGATTACGAACTATTTAGGATAAGACTGATGAAGGAATAGAATCATGGCCTGATCAAGCGTGTTGTGGCAGAGAAAGAGGCAAAGAGGGGAAAACTGTGGATCTGCTCAGGCAGGCTTTATGGTAGTAAACAGCTCGTCTTCAAAAGCTCCTTCTATAGTCAGCAGAAAGCCACGGAAACCTCTAGAGAACAATTCCAGCCAGTCCTACCATCGACTGGAAAAGCAGCCAGAGAAGACAGGCCTGAGCAGGCCAGGATGCCGACCTCTGCAAGTGCCTCTTCAGACTCCCAGCAAGCCATTCATCTGCCTGCGGGCAACGTTCTCGGCCTCGTGAAAGGCACGTTGGGCCAGAGATCAACCACACGTTTCTGACCTTGACAACATTTACCTGTGTATAATTCAAGATGACCACACACGTCCACTGCGGTAATTCTGTCCTTATTTGTCTATATAGCTCTGTAAAATCTGACGGAAGCCTACCACAGGCCTCTTCAGCTTCTCCTTTTCAACTAGGTGTTTCCATTCCGGTAGTTCCACATCAGAAAAAGACTATGAAACATTACTAAAGTAATATCAGACATACAGCTGGTTCCCCTCATTATGACTCCTAAGCTCTCTGCTAAAGAAACTTACTGTGAAATTACTGAACCCGGTAAGAAGTCACCCGCCGTCCTTATCATTAAGGAAAATCTGCAGTAGAAATATAGACTCCACAACAGACTTCAGCAGGCAGCATGATCTAGGTGGTACAACACAACTCAAGAGACCGCATTTCAGACTAACTGCCGAAGGAACGCCTTAAGCTACCTCACCGACAACAGAACGAGAAGCATTCTTGCCTCCTGATGAAGCCTGTAGAGAAGCTTTAACCAAAAAAAGCTTAGATTAGATTCAGGCAAGTGCTGTAGAAGTGAGGCCTGAGGATGTCCTGAAATGAAATTCACTCTTGTGGAAGCTATTCTGCTCATGTAAATCACCCAAGACAGAAAGAAAAAGCAGGTGGGCAACAACTCGCCCCGCACACTGCCCGGCACCCCATCTCTGCCTCAGCTAATGTCTGTACAGATAGACAAGACAGAACCCAAGTCCTCCTGAAACGAAGACACTGAGAAGTGAATCCAGGCCCCTTGTATACTGGTGATCTCCTACTACATAATGCCCCAGTCCAAGGCGGGCTCAGATTTATCACCCAGGTTTTCCAACTGCAACTTCCAAGTCTCGCTGGTTGGGCTTTTGGCCCATCTTACACAGCTGCAAGGCTGAGACACGATCACTTCTTTGAGCTTGAACAGAACAGCTTTGTAGCAGAGCTGGTGTCAATGCTATTAGGATCCCTGCTTCGTGGTGTGTCACGCAGCATCTCAACTGCAGAATTACCTTACAGGTTCTGCAAGGACCTGCCAAAGCTCATCTTTATCTTTTTAGGAAGAAAATTCACTAGCAAAAAATACACCATTGTTGTATACCGTAAAGGTAACACAGTCTTTGCAAAGCCACATGAACACTCTGTAAAAGCCCTGAAATAGAGCAGGATAGCACGTTCCCATACGGGCTTATGTTTATCTTTTGAGTGATGACCCAAATAAAGAGCTGCAGGCACTCGCTCTGCTTCTGCAGAGAGCTATCATCACCTGTGGGCATATACAGAGAACATAACAAAAGAGACACGTTTTCAGATTTGCATCCCCTGTCCTCCCACTCAGATGCATGCTAAGGAAGGCAGAATAAGGAAGGCATTTTATTTGGAAACATCTGGACAACAGCTCAAAAGAAAACAGAGTTGAAAGTTCTATTTGGAGTGGTTTTTAAACTCCAGTGAAACCTTGAGTTAGTGCTTAATGTCACTTGAAATATAGAGAGGCACAAGCATCCACAGATCAATGCCTTAAGAAAAGGTATCCACCATAAACTGTTTGAAGAGCCTTTACTGAATCAAGACACTTAAAGAAAGCATTTCTGAAGACAAGATTCACAGTAAGCCTGCCCATGTAGCACGTCGGGGGGGGAACATCAAGCAAGTGATCAGGAACTCTTTATCATCATGACAGTATACGGTGTTCTTGAAACAGAAACCTATTTTCTGAAGAAAAAACCTGTAATAAAAACCAGCCTCAAGACACTAATATTTCCACTTTATGGAGCAGAATACCATTAAAAACTTCTTAGCATGTGTTTATTTTGAATAAAAAAGTCTCTCTTAACATCTACATCCAAATACTCTAAGATCATCATCGAGGATCTCTTCTGCAGACACATCTGTGTTTGATTAGAGCACCTCTCAAAACTGAGAATTGGGAAACTTCACTGGGTTTTAGATCCAGACATAAGGTTACGAGGAACTGAACAGAAGCACAGAACTAAGCCACAACCCCCAGAACTCTCCCAGGTCGCGTGGTACAGCACGTGAGATACTTCAGACACAAGTATCAGAAGGGAACAACAGGGAACCAAACATGAACGGCATCGACAGCTACCGGCATGAAAATGAGGGATGTGACAGACACCCTCAAAGTGTTTATCTCCTGTTCCCTGCCAGGGTGGCCACCTCCACTGTAGAGTCAGCACAGACCACAAGTTCTCCTCTGTCACGATGATCGAGGTCTCACAGGGCAGCTGAAGCCATGGCCCTTCCCCTTCGCTTGCGTCTACATTAGTCTCCCATAAGGGGGGGAAGGAAGTTAGCCACAGGCAGCAATGGTTCTACATCCCGGTAAGATTTGCCAGACCCCGGTAACTGTTAAAGAACCTTAAAGAAAAAGTGGGATCTGGATGCATTGAAAGCAAGCGTACTGTACCCGTTTGTTCAGGACCTATGCCCTAGCAAGACACATAGGTAACACAAGCACTACACCTAGAAGTACCAAAATGCAAGTCAAATCAATTTATTTCTATAAGAGCAGTCATACCTGACCAGTCCAAAGAGCTTTGGTAAAGTCCAAGAAAATCTCAGTAATAAAGCACAGTAAACAAAGCATTCAGGGCAGACATCGGACATTTCAAGATGACACCAAGGCAGCCAGGTATAGTCAGTCTGATCAATAACTTATTGATCAAACGAAATAAAGTAGCGATCAAGACAGAACACCAAGAGCTAGCTTACAGCAGAAAGTGAACAAGATAATTTTGACATTACATCACTGTATAAGTGGATGAATTCTTTTTTTCAACCAGTCAACAGAATTATTAAATGCTTGGTAAATCACTTTTTAAAGTCGGAAAAACAAGTTCGGCCTGTCTTCCCAAAGACACACATTTGTTGGTTTTTGAGAAGTCAGGAAGCCTCGCTGGACACCGCGGTCGCTTCTGAAGAGTGATTCTGCTCACAGTCAAGAACTAGATTACGATAGGAGGATGCAGGGAAAGGCGCTAGCAGCGCGGCACGGCATGATCTGAGATGAAACAGAAACGTTGTGCTCTGTGCAGGAGGAATCGCCGTAAGGAACCACGGCTTAGTATGTATGACAGGAGGGTTCGTTCATAACACACGCTTCATTGGCATGTGAGCTGGCCAGTGAGACAACGCGATAATGCTTAAAACGGGGATTTGAGTTTGCTGTAAAGGGTATTAGTAGTTAATAACGCCAAGACACAATCCAAATAAAGCCACTCACCCCGTGCACATCCCCCGCCCCCCGGGGCACAGGACCCTGCCCAGTTTGGAGGGAAGAGAAGCGCTCCGGTACGGAGCTGTCCCAGGCCGAGACCGCAGGACGGCCGCGGGCAGGGCAGGGCAGGGC